CATTTCTGAGCTTTTACTCCGTCCTCTGGAGCCTAAACTCCATTTTCAGCAACTCAAAGTTCAGTTGAGCTCTGCGGTTCCTGCATCCCGGTGGTGGTGGGCTCAGTAATAAGTGCCTGACCCCCTGGAAGCCATGAATTTTCCTTCTGAGGCTAAGGAGACTTGCAGATGGGATGCAGCTAAGGATCCCGAGAGGGGAAGCTGTCCTGGGTCATCTGGAGAGAACCTAAATGAGGATCAAGGATCCTTACAAGAGGGAGGTGGGAGGATGGGGGCCAGAGGTTGGAGTGAACCGAGGAAGAGGCCGTGAGCCAAGGAATGCAGGCGGCCACCAGAAGCTGAACTTCCAGGGTCAGACCACCCCCACTGAGCCTCCAGAGAGGCCTGCAAACACCTGGATCAGCTCAGTGGGACTGATTTCAGACCCCTGGCCTCCAGATCTGTAAGAAGACTATGTTGTTGTTGTAAGCACCGAGTTTGCAGGAATCTGTTACCCGTCACTGAGACTCCGGGGGAGGCTTGGCACTCGACATAAGTTTCAGATTGCACTGGCCAGTGGAGGGTGGAGTTGGAAGATGCATGGACCTACCCGCTGTGGGGTACCAAGGGTGGGCTACATTAAAGGGGATACAAGCAAGATTCTGGCCTCCTCCCAGAAGCAGATGGTACAGATGCAGGAAAGGCAAGTGGAACATCTAACCCCAGCCACAGGACCCGTGGTGAGTTTGCATGGAGAGGCGTCTCAGATGTTGATGGAACCCTGAGCTGAAAATATTTCTAGGTATTTGGGTCCTATATTGCTTGTACCTAAATTAAGAAGAGGGGCTGGRGTTGTGRCTCAGTGGCAGAGCGCTTGCCTATCATGTGTGGGGCACTGGGTTCCATCCTCAGCACCACATATAAATAAGTAAAATAAAAGGTCCATTAGCAACTAAAAAATATTAAAAAAAAAGTAGTAGAGAAGAGATTAATTCCATCTTTGTGGTTGTTTGTTTATTTTTGGTACCAGGGATTGACCCCAGTGGAGCTTAACCTCCAAGCCACACCCCCAACCTTTTTTTTTTTTTTTAATTTATTTTGAGACAGGATTTCACGAAGTTGCTTAGGGCTTTGTTAAGTTGCTGAGGCTGGCCTCAAACCTGTGATTCTCCTGCCTCAGCCTCCCAAGCCTCTGGGACTACAGGCACGTGCCATGATGCCTGGCTTACTCCAGGTTTTGGACTGGGTGTTTTTCCATGTGGGTCACTGACAGCCAGCAGGGAGGAAGTGTGGATAACACCTGATAACAYCTGCCAGTTGACACCCCTATGTGGCAGGTGCTGAATTCTTGGAGGACATGTGAGACTGGAGATCTTAGCTCTAAGATGGGTTCATCAGCAGGACACTGGAGAGAGAGAGAGAAAGCAAGAGTGTCCTGGAGGATTTGGGGCTGGATATCCTGCAACTAGCTTATCTCACATGATAACTTGTTATGTCATGCTTCTCTTACGTAGACATAGCTGAAGGGAAGGAAACACAAGTCTTCTGAGTCTTAGGATTTGTGTGCTTCAGTAACAGCAAGCTCTAGGCTCTCCGCCCTGGCTGCCTTCCCTCTGCACATGTAATTATAACTCTGGGGTCTGGTCCACAGAACAAGTAGGAACCCAGGACAGGATAGCAGAGGGACAACCCGAGAGGTAAGAGCTGGTGGCCTATGTTAGAAATGCAAAGGATGAAAAATCAGTACATGAATGACGGCTTCCACCACCAGCCCTTCCTGGGGGCCTCCTGGTCTCTCCACAACCCACCAGCTACAGGCCAWCTCCAGGCGGAGCCAAGGGCTCTTACATCCTGCTATGGCACCGGGTCTGGCTTCTGCTGTGATTGGTCACGTCCTGGTAGTAATTGGAACATTACCCATGAACATAAAAGTGCCTTTCTTTAGTAACTTAGCCAGTTAGATACGTCCCCTCCAATATCTGATGAGAAATTAAAAACCATTACACTTAGGGGTCATTTCACATAGTACTGCCATATGTGGCTATAGGCTCAGGGAACATTAATATACTTTGCAGTACCTGGTGCTAACTGATATTCACACTAGCCTTTAAGAAAATGTTAATAACATTTCCCTTAATTAACTTCAGGAAGGAGGCAAGGTTTAACCCAAAGTGGATTCAACATCTTGGTGCTCATACAGGATGGAGCCACATAGCCAGTTCCCTTGTGCAGGTGACTCATTCTTGGGGATTCCAGAGAGCCAGCACTCCTGCCGAGTAGCTTAGGTCAAAATACTCATGTTCTCATGTAGCAGGTTGGTTCTCCTGTGCCCGTCCCTCGCAAGCCTGAGCCTTTGCTCACCTGGCTGGTGGCGCCTCCTGCTCACCTGGCTGGTGGTGCCTCCTGCTCACCTGGGCTGATGGCGCCTCCTGCTCACCTGGGCTGATGGCGCCTCCTGCTCACCTGGGCTGATGGTGCTCCTGGGCTGGCCAGCAGGCAATAGCCCTTCCTGCCCACCCTCTGTCTTCACCTCCGCAGGTCTGCCACGGAGCACCTGGTGGAACCCAGGACAAACAGAAGCTTCTTCCTCCCTTCTGACCTTATGTCGTGATGGAAATAACATACAAGTCAACCCTTTCAGACAGCCCTTCAAACCCCGGTGCCAGGGTAACAGGAGTGCAGAACAACATCCGCCCGAGGATGAGGATGTGGCTGGAGGAAGGCAGAAGAAAGTTCAGGGTTTAAAGTCACGCGCACACACACACATGCACACACAAGAAACAATGTGCCCCATTAATTCCAGTAGGAAGAAGTTCCATGTTCACAGATGATGGAAAACTTTGAGGTCAAAGAAGACAGTGAGTCAGAAGTTAGGCAATGAGATTCACATTACACGGGAACTTGTCTCTACTAATGTGCCCTCATTAGCAGATGGCTCATCTGTTCCAAAAGCCTATCTGACCTGCTCCCTTATTAACTTAATTACTCCCCTTAACACCTGTCCTCAATATCGGCCCGCTGTCCAAGCGAGTGGCCTGTTSAAGCTCTTGCCTGAGTCAGACTCATGGAGAAACAGAGCAGACCCTCAGACCAGCTGGGTGGGTAGTTGCAGTGGGGCTGTAGCCCACAGGGACTGTGCGGATCAGCTGGGCCACAGAAGCATCAGGGCTCTCCAGGGAATCCCAGAGTGTTAAGCCCGGGGCAGCAAAGCCCCGAGCAACTGTCCCGTCTCCTCCGACTCCCAAGGCCCCTTGGTTCCTCTCTCTCTGTGCAGCCTTCCCCACGGCTGTGGCTCAGCATATTCACGAGCTCTTTCCCTCCCTGGGCCCGGCCTCCCTGGGCATGTGCAGGCCCAGCCAGTTTGCAGATTTGCGGGCTTCTGCTGCTGCGTGACCTGTGGGTGGTCACCTATGGGTGCTGGTCTGTCTGCATTGCCTCCACCCTCTCCATTCCCAAGAAAAAATTCAGTTTGTGTTTTGCTGCCAGTCTGATGTCAAGGGTCCCTGGCTTGCCTAAGGRTCATTGGTATCCTTATGCTCCTGGGCAGAGGGGGACTTGTAGGGCCTACACGGTGGTCTCAAATTTCTGCCATGTGGCAAAGTTCTGTGAACCAGAGGCCAAGTCATTTTTACCTCTTGTTCCCTCACTAACTCGCAGGGTGACAGTCACTTCTTTGTCCATAAAACAAGGGGTCTGAATAGATAATAATGCCACCTGCTACACACGGGACTCCGCTCTGGGACTATGTACAGACTCACAGTGGAATCCCCAGGAGGGAGGTGCTAACATCAACTCTTTCTGAAGGTGGGAAACTGAGGCACAGAGTGGCAGGGAACTTGCTCCTAAGTGGCAGAGCTGGCTCCGAACGCTGCTGGTCTACTCAGAATCCTTGCTCTTGACCTTGCTTCCTTGGGGATTCCTTCAGCCCTTGAACTTTAGGGATCTAAGTTTTCAGCAGGGTCTTGGCAGCAATGACAAGCCCTAGTTAGATGGCAGTGGGGGCCCTTGGAGACACTCGGGAGCCCCTGCGTTCCCTTCCATGCCCCTCATGATGCATGCTGCCACTTTGCCTTCCCGGCATCCCTCAGACTTCTGGACAAGCGAGCCATGAGGTGAATGGGGGGGAAGGGGCCACACTCTGTTTGCCAGAGCACTGTGACCCTTTGTGTCTTGCCAGCGTGGCAAGGGCAGTGCAGGAAGCCTGCCTGCCCTTTGCCTTTGCAGTCTCAGACGGGGCATGGGAAACGCTGGCCCGTCCGCAGGCGTGACTGCCAGGCTTCCTCCTTCCCCAGCCAAGTGCAGTGGGAGGATTAGGCAAGCCACCCATCCAGTTGATTGGTTTGGGTGTGTCCCAGCTGTCAGAAGGGATCCCCGAGAAATGCTCACCCTCCTGCAAGTGCCGGTGGCCCAAAGGCCTGTGTGAGGCTAGCTCCTGAGCCAAGCCTCAGGGCCAGCTGCTGGTCTCAGGGGAGGTCAGTGCATCAGGCCTCTAGCTGGGGGCCTCCATGCTTTGCTCACATGTGGGGAGCCAGGCCACTTCCCCAGGAGCCTGTCTAAGGACAGTCATATAAACCTGCAGTGGTGGCTCAYGTCCATTCTGTGACAGCCAGGAAATGACAATTGGAATCGGGCCGCATGTTCAGGTCCCAGCCAGCCCCTTCGAAGCCAGGAGAAAGGGCAGAGGAAGTGGCATGGCTTAGGAGAAGCCCCTGCTTCCTGCTGCTCAGTGCCATGGCCGTGGCCATCCTGGGGAGAGTTCCCTCCTCCACAATGTGTGGAGGGCACTGTGTGCCCTTCCAGTGAATTTCCCAAGTCAGGACATGGCAGTGCCTGGGGAGGGGATCAGGTGTGTGCACAAGGAACCTGGTCAGAAGGGCCTTTGTGGGGCGGGTGTTATTGTTTTCATGGGTGCAGCAAAGGGTGGATCAACCAGCTGCATGTGGTAAATTGTTATTTACAGCTTCTGAGCTTTAAAAGAAGAGCTTCCCCAGAATCTGTCCTGCTTCCAGACCTGCAGCGTCATGAGGGCTGTGGTGACTCTGGTGTCCCTGCTCCTCCTGGGTGCCCAGGCCCAACATGAGTGGTCCTACTCAGGTAAGCCTGCACCCCCGCGGGGTTTCCTAGGTTGGCCCACACTGAGGAAGGGAGTCCCCCTTGTTGAGGATGGCAGCCACACCAGGCAGTTCAGGGCTGGATGCAAGGGAGCCCACCAGTCTCTGGGTGGTTCCTCCGGCGGGTCTCCTCCCTGTGGAGGAGATGCTGCCTTCTCCTGTCGCCCGGTGAATGGAGAACAGAGACCTTAAACTTCCTTGAAGAAAAAGAGGAAATAACTTCCCCTAGCAGGCAGCAGCCCCTGGTTCACTGTAGGCTCTGGGCTTTGAAGCTTTTCCACCCATGGACCTGGGGGGTYGGAGAGCCCACTCCTGTCTCTGATCGTGAAACCTTGTGCTTTATTGGYCTGCGTAAGAGGAAGAGGAAGCTCTCAGAAAGGACCCCCCTGTCCCCACAGAGGGCACTKCGGGTTACTGAGAGCTCCCACCTCGGGGGAGTGTCCTGACACGCGGTTCACTCAGAGCGTCTTGACCCTAGGGGAAGGCCTCCAGGCGGCCAAACAAGATCAAAAATATGAAATTTAGAGTCTTGGCATCTGGCGTAGGTTCTGGCCCACAGGTGAGCCAAACAAAGGAAGCCCATGTCCTTGGGGTTGTGGACACTGGATCCCCTTCATGTGGCCTCCTGAGGCCTCCCGACTGCATCCCCGTTTTCTGTACTGAGCCAGGCAGTGGGGCCCAGGGAGGCGGGCAGCTGCTGCTGGCGCTGGAGGCAGAAGCGGCACGAGCCTGCTCTGCACAGTCCACCTGCCCCCGGTGACAGGGTCAGACCGTCCAGGGATGTTGAGTCCTTTTGTTTGAGACAAGGACAACAGAATCAGGAACATTCTAGAGGAGCTCACAGAGTGGAGCTTCAGAGGGCCAGCTCCAACCCACCATCCTGACCTGAGAGGGGATCCCAAGTGCCTGCCTTGAGGACGCTGGGTTTCCTGATTCACCTGACGGTGGCCCTAGGAATGGGTCAGAGGTGGAGGAAGAGGGAGGAGTCCATGATAGGGATCGTCACCTCCACCCCCCCCAGCTCAGCCAGCTTCTGTGAGCATGGGAGTAGATTTTAAGGGCTGTGTAGGAATACTTGTGGCTGTCCCAGTACTGCTAGGAGCCCAGGGCCAAGCATTAGGATTCAAGAAGGCTATGTTAGAGTTTTCTGCTTCAGTCTCAGCATCTTGCCTCTAGGAAAAAATTGCTTTGGGGGTGTTTTTTTTTTTTTTTTTAATTTTATCTTTTCTTTTTTGGTGCTGGGGGTAGAACCTAGGGTTTCCTGCATGTGAGGCGAGTGCTTTACCACTGAGCTACATCCCAGCCCTAGGACAGAATTGTTTAAAAACAGTTTTGAATTATTAAATAGTGAAGAACCGAGAAGTAAAGAACAGACTTTTCTATTGATTGCAAACCACGAAGGCCCCAACACAAACAGCATTTTTAGAACAAGTGACACACAAAACCACACCACTCTTCCCTAAAGGGGGAAGGCGAGGTTGGATCCTCAATTGTAAATGAGTGAAACAAAGACCCTCAGTTCTTTGGGGGCTAAATCGTCTGTAACAACAACTGGTCTTCATTACTCTGGCCATGATGATGATGATGATGATGATGATGATGATGATGAGATGAGCCCGGGGGCTCTAGCACTGAGCCATAATCCCTATCCCTTTTAAGTTTTCATTTTCAGACAAGTTCTTGCTTAGATGCAAACATGCGATCCTCCCGGCAGTCCTCCTGCCTCAGCCTCCCTCCTCTCTGGGATTACAGGTGTGCACCACTGCGCCTGGCTCCCTGTGATTGTTAACCATCTCCAAAAAGACAACTTTCCTTACTCTGATTTTTTTTTTTTTTTTTTTTTTTTTTGTGTGTGTGTGTGTGAGGTTGTTGACCAGACTGGTCTCCTGGGCTCAGCCATTCTCCTACCCAAGCTCCTGAGTATCTGGGATTACAAGCACATGCCACCACACTGGGCTTTACATGTTTTTAAGCGAGCTGTGCCAGGCCCTTGAACCAGATGCTTCCTTAGATGACCTGAATCCTGGGGTGTAGTCAGGTGGTCCTGACCATCCTGGGGGCCCATAAAAGGGTGTGGAACATGGAAGGTGGCAGAGTGGGGTTCTCATAGCGTGGGGAGAAGGGAGCGGCCGCCGGGGGCTTGGAAGGAACTGCGCCACCCAGAGGGAACCAGGAGAAGTCAGGTAGTGATCCCAGCCGGGTTCCTCCCGTGCGTTTATCAGTCGCAAATAACGCAAAGGAGCAGGAAAGTGGCTCTGCGGAAAAGACCGTCAACGTTTTTAAAATACCAAGTCGTGTGTCCAGAGCTGGTGGTTGCAATAGGAAAGTTAGAGGTTAGCCTCCAAGTCGCCCCAAAACCAAGTCCTTGGAGGTGACTCAGACCCCTCCCCCTCGGGTCTCCTTGCGGAGGTCTGTTTCTGCTTTCCCTGTGGGGTCCCCCTCGGGAGGCCCAGGCAGCTGGCCTGGTAAGGTGCTGCTGGGGGCTCCGTCTCTTGAACCCATTCTCTCCTGCCTCAGAGGGGGGACTGGAAGAGGACCTCTGGCCGCAGGAATACCCGGCCTGCGGGGGACACAGGCAGTCGCCCATTGACCTGCAGCAGAATAAGGTGCGCTTCAACCCGGCTCTGAAGGCGCTGAACCTGACGGGCTACCAGGAGGACCGCGGGGACGAGTTTACCATGATCAACAATGGCCACACAGGTAAGGGCGGGGAAGCCRCAGCCTGCAGCTGCCCTCCTGGTGGAAGGCAGAAAGGGGCCTCCTGACACGCACACCTGCCAGGAGTGACCCACGGAGGGACCGGGAAGGCAGCTCAGTGCTGGAGGCCTGGGACATGAGGGTTGGCAGTGCCAAGGGAAGTCGGAACCCGGTGACTCTTCTGGAGCCCGGCAGCTACTGCCTTCAAGCCCGATTCCCTGATGGCCTCATCATTCCCCATTATTGTCACCAGAACACACTGTCACCCAACCAGAAGAGCCAGGTGGGGCCAACAGTGGTGCTGGAGCCACACTCCTGCCTGTGCTTCTGCCCCTTGGCCCTGCTCGCCCACTTTTCTATCTTGAGTCTGATGAGCACAAAGCTCCCGAGCCCCGTACCTCTCAGAGGTTTGGAACCGACCTCTCATCTCTGTTCCTGGTTGGGAAGCGGGTGAAGGGCAGTGGGAGAGCTGGGTCTCGGGGCGTCTGCTCCAGGGGTCCCTTCCAGGCAGCCGTCAGACCCGCGCTGTGCTTGGCAGGGTGTCCTCCTGACTCTCCCGGGGCCCGTCTTCCCTGAGCCTTATGTCAACCCCAGGAAGGGGCATATTTGGTGGGAAATCTGAGAACCCGGGWGGTCAGGTTCACTCACCTGAGGGCTGAGTGGCCCAGAAGCCCAGATGTTTGATTGCTCAGTCGCGTCCTCCTCCGCATCCCCACCTGGGTTCGAGGTTGGGCCATTTCACCTACACACAGGTGTGTGTTGCACAATTGAGAAAATAAAACCAGTTGTCCTTATGGGGCTAGCAAGAGTAATAAATGGGGAATGAAGTCGCATCTGTACAGTGGCCTTAGGTACATGTGACTGGGGTCGCTGAAATCTATGGATAACTAATGGCAACTTTTATGTGTGTGCGTTGGGGACTGAACCAAGGACCTTGTGCACGTGAGGCAGGCGCTCTGCCACTGAGCTACAATTGCTTTCTTTCTTTTTTATTTTAAGAGACAGTCTGACCTCACACTACTGGGCTCAAGACATCCTTCTGCCTTGGCCTCCTGAGTAGCTGGGACTACAGGGGGTACACCAACGCACTTGGCACCCCTGTATTTTTGATGTGCAGTATTTTGAAGGATTTTTAGAAATTTATCTTTTGAATCTATTTGGTTATATTCATTACAATTAATTATAACTTTTCAGCAAGCTCCAGGCACATTCAGGAATTCTACCGAAGAAAAATCCTAACCTACAAATATCAAATCTAATGAACTTTTGATGAATGCTAAGTTTGCTGATACGTTAACATGATGAAATTAAACATTTGTTAGTTGTGACTTAAATTATCATTGTTTCACATTATCATCTATTTTTTTACTAAACTATTTTTTAGAATTGAGCAGCAAGTACAGAGAGTTCTTTCTTCTCTCTTTTTTATTTTGGTATGGGGGATTGAACCCCGGGTGCTCTGTTACTGAGCTACACCCCCAGCCCTTTTTTATTTGAGACAGGGTGTCACTTAGTGGCTGAGGCTGGCCTTAGACTTGTCATCCTCCTGCCTCAGCTTTCCAGGTGACTGGGACTGCAGGCGTGCATCACCGCATCCAGCTCATCCCTCTTTCTCTTAACCTCTGACAACCACTGACCTTTTTACTGTCACATAGTTCTGCCTTTTGCAGAAGGTCGCATTGCAATCGGAGTCATGCAGTATATGGCCTTGCAAATTGGCTTCTTGGACTTAGTTTCATGTATCGGGAGCCCATTTCCTTTAGCACCGAATAACATTCCCTTGTCTAGATGTACCATTTTTCCTGTATCCATTCACCTATCAGAGACATCTCACTTACTCTCAAGTCTAGTCAGTTATTAATATAAAGCTCTGCTATAAAATCTAATGCTGGTTTCTGTGTGGGTGCAAGCTTCCGGCTCACATGGGCAAATACCAAGGCATGTGGTGGTGGGATGACAAGGGCAGAGCTTGTTTAGCTTTGTCAGAAGCCCTCTCCGCTTCTGGTGGGCATAATGGCATATCCTAGCTGGGCTCATTTACAGTTCCCCGAAGACAAGTGATCTCGAGCAGCTTTTCATGTGCACATTTACCATCTGCACATCTTCTTTGATGAGGTGTCTGCTCAGGGCTTTTGTCCGTTATTCCATCAGGTTATTCATTTTCTCCTCGTTGAGTTCTAGGGGTTCTGTGTGTACATTTTGGATGACCACCCTTTACCAGATATGTTTGTAAAGACTTTCTCCTGGTCCGTGGCTTTTTGCTCTCTAGCCAGTGGCTTTTGCAGAGCAGAAGTTTTAAAATTTAATAGAATCTGGTTCATCAATAATTTATTTCATAGATGGTGCCTTTGGGTAGTGTATTTAAAATGTCACCTCAGGTTTGGGGTACAGTTCAATGGTAGAGCACTTGCCTAGCATGGGTGAGGCCCTGAGTTCCATCCCCAGCACTTAAAAATAAGTCAACACCATTCTCCGTATCACCTGAATTTCTTCCTGAGCGTTTTGTAGTTTTGCATTTTACATTTAGGTGTATGGAACATTCTGAGTTGATTTTGGGGAAAGGTGTAAGGTCTGTGTCTAGTTTTCTTTTTTAAAGCAGATGTCTAGTTGCACAGTACAATTTGTTGAAAAGACTATCTTTGCTGTGTTGTCTTGTAGTCCTTTTACTTCTTTGTTAAAGATAAATTGATTAAAGCTAAGTAGGATGTGCACAACTGCAGTCCCAGCTACCTGGGAGGCTGAGGTGGGAGAATGACTTGAGCCCAGGCCAGAAAGAGGCTCCATTTCAAAAAGAAAAAAGAAAAACAAGAAAGAAATCAGTTGTTGGGATTGTCTATTCTTCTAACAGGACACTGACCTGACTACGATAGCTTTCTAGTAAGTCCTAAAGTTAGATAATGTCAATACTTCAGTTGTTTTTCTCTTTTAATATTCTGTTGGCTCTCCTGGGTATTTTGTCTCACCATATAAACCTTAGAATCAGTTTTCCAATGTCCATAAAATAACTTGCTAGGATTTTGGTTTGCTTTGCTTTGAATCTACAGATCAAGTTGGGAAGAACTGAAACAATATTGATTCTTCCTGTCCATGAACATGGAATATCTATTGACTTCTTTCATCAGAGTTTTGTAGTTTTCCTCATATAGATCTTGATCCTATTTTGTTAGACTTTTTTTTTGTCTGATGAGAATTCAGTTAAATTCGTTCCCCATGAAGAGGGGAGTCTCCTCCTCTGGAAGCTGAGTCCTTCTGCAGAATCTAGAAGGTTTAGCAAGTTAGTTTTTGGGGATGGATATGTCTGCCCCATCTTTTCCTTGACGCAGCCCCAAGCTGGCTCGGAATCACTGCTCCTCCCCTGCGCCTGTGCAGGCCTCTCAGTGGAACTTCAGCCCTGAGGTAGTCTGTCTCCTGGGAACTGCGATTTGGGGAAACATAATTTTCAGGATCTCTTATCACTTGTGTGGGGCCAACTGGGTGTCATCTAGAAGCTCTGGCCTGGTCCTGGGCTCCCTGGTCCCGTCTGCTCTCAACATCGCTGACTTCACCTCCTTTTAAAGATTTCCATTCTTTTCTTGTGAATATTGATTTTGAGTCTGGCTAAGTTTTGAGCTCTAAATACAAGGCACCTGCTCTGCTAAGGACCCATTAAAATCCTTGAGGTCAGTTCCTGTATCTCAGCGCATCAAACACGATGAATTTAATCAGTGCTCCCAGCTCCTTTAGATGAGAAGGAGCAAGGGGCATCTCATCCAGGCATCTCAAACCACTAATGTTTGCTTTTTTTTTTTTTTTAAGAGAAAGAGAGAGAGAGAGAATTTTTTAATA